TTTCGTTTCTGGCGCAAGTCCCCCCCCCCTTTTCAATTTGTTTAGTTTATTCCGTTTTTTTCTGCCTCATCGTCTGTTATTCGTGACAGTATTCTACTTAAGAGTAAAAAAATGCATTGATTAATTTTACTTTTTTTAAATTTTTGCTCTAGTTAAACCTTTTTTATGTAAAGACTGATTTGTTTTTGCATTCCCGTTCATATTCTTGTACATATTGTGTTAAACAGTTTCTTTCCCCGAGACTACCATATGTCTTCAATCCGGCCCCTTATCTGAACGTTTGGAGACTCCTACTCTAGAGTGTAACTATCGCTCTTAGCTGCCATAACGAACTTGTGGTTATGTGATAGCATTGACCTCGAAAGAAGGGAAATTCAATGGTGCGCTGCTTGAGTCACCACAGCAAACGTAAGTTTTTATTTAGTTTATATGCACTTTTGTGGGCTGTTTCATCTATTGTTTAAGCAATAACCTACTCCCCCATGTTGCTGCTCTAATAAAGAGCCATAGCTCTACGTGCTAAATGCACACCATGGTACGTCTGCTCCCTAGGCAATGGAACCCTACGTGTCATCAACGAGCAGCCCGCTGGTGGCTTCACTCGACGGTGACCGGATGCTCGATTCTTCTTGTTGCAGCTGGCAAGTCCCGTTGTGGGCCGAAACTTCTTGTTTTTCCAAACCCAGAGCCGCTTATCCTTAAAAAAAAGAAAACATTTAAAAAAAGTGAATTTGGATTGAGTTACCAATGGCGAGAGCATACAACAGTAAATGTACCAACCCCGCCGGCTGGAAAAAGCGCCTGTTTCCCCTACCGGTCGCATAAATGGTCATTAATCTCAAAACTAAAAAATAAGACAATCACTTCTTCGCGCTGAGAGAGCTCTGCCATCTGCTCGGGGTGGTTCACATCTATGAAACCTTTCATCGAGCAAAACTGCCAAATCGCAAGACGGTCTCAAAACTTTGGGCGCATACCAATCTACGGGTTTTCCCGCCCATTTCGATCTAAATACTGGTCAAATTAATCATAGTGCAAGTCAATTGAGTCCAAGCGCCATTCAATTAAATCTTAGTACCACCCAATTCCCGGGGCAAGTCAATTTAATCCACAATATATACATGCAGGTGTTTTTTTTTTGTTTTTTTTTGTCTTTAGTGGTCGTGTTTTGCTTGCTATTTTGATAAATTAGACTAATTCTTTATACAATTAGGTCTTCTTGGGAACTACTGATATATTTATTATTATTTCGATCACTTGGTTGACTAGTCGCACGATTGACATGTTTATTACTTTTTTGGAAAGCTGGAGTTATTAGTGGTGCACTTGACTTTCGGTTAGCTTCAGCTGAATCGCCGTTTGTTTTTCGACTTTTCCTTACTTCGACCTATCATTAATTTAATTTACATGATAAAAGTTCAAGAAACATTCTTATGACTCTGTTGATCACTTAAAAGAAATATTAACAAAAATATAACTTTTTAGAAGCTCATTTGACTTTGTGATATTGTTTTGGCTATATAGTCTATTATTGAGACAAACAACTTCATAGAAGCAAGTTTCGTTACCCAGTCGATTACTTTGAAATAATATTGACAACGTGCGACTTCAAGTACAGCTAATTGGATTACATATCTGATTAATTCGTGTTACTATTCAACAGATTCATTTTAAATTGACTCAATAAAATGTATGGTTACATTTAATTTTCCACTGACATATTACACACAACTGAGTCGAAATCAGCACCACCGGCATCTTGATTACTTTAATTAACTAGTGCCTTTGACTTTAGGTTGGTATAAAGAAGACATCCCAAGCAGCACGTTGTGAATGGGCCATCGCCAGGCAAGTACACTACGGCCAACCAGATTTTCGATGATCCAAGACGGGGCAAAGTGCTTCGAAAAAGCAGTGTTTTGGTCCTTGTCTCGTGACTGGCCGTTAACATTAAGCCAGTTGATGGCCATTCATTTTAGGTCAGTCACTGGTCATGCACTTTCGGCGAGCCAGTGGCAATTCAGTTTTGACCAGTCCCTGGCCATTAAACATTGGCAAGCCACTGGCCACTGACTATCGGCTTGTGACTAATGGAAAGCAGCTGTAGTTGTACACTTCATATCTAATTTATCACAAACTGCCAGGAAATCGGGGCGTTCCTCAGAAGACAGTCAGATTTTCGGGACGTCAAGTTTCAGACCTTGACTCCAGAAACCTTTACATATTAATGACACGCGAAGCTGCTGCAAGATTTCTCAATATTTATTTGACTTTTTGTGTGCAGCATATTCCGGGTCATAGCCCGCGGACTATGCATGTTGAAAAGTTGAAAACATAGGCTGTGCGGACTGGCTACGCGTGCAGTCGATACAGGAATTTTGTTTGTCAAGATCGTCCTTTATGAGGCGACGAGACGGATTTTGTGAATGAAAGAGTGTGTTAATGATGATTTGTGTATAATACAAGCTTCTTTGTGAGCTAAGAAAGCAGACATTTGTTGAGGTGCGCCATGTATGAGAAGATGTTTGTGTCTACAAAGCACCAGGTGTAGACTATGCACGGCAGGGGGACTATGCACCGGGTGCGGGCTATCTAGGCAAGAACTTTTACTCTTGACCCCAAATTTCCTCCTGCGGACTATAGGCCGGGTGTGGACTGTATCCCAGAAAATACGGTACTACGTCTTACGACGCTGGTTGCGACATCCATTTCAGTCGTCCGTGGGACGACAAATAGTCCGTGGTCCCACCCTTAATATTTTCCCGGACTGCAACTGTAAAAACAAAATTAGTTGAAGGGACAGTGCAACGATGTTCAGTTGCAACTTTTTTTCACTTTCCACAAGCTTACTGTCACGAATGGAAAATCGAAGCCTTTAGTACCTTCGGTACGGCGTCGGAGACTGCCGGAATGTAGTGGAGGTGGATGCTTTAAAATGAACCCAAATAAAAGGAACGCGACACCTTTTCAATCTAAATATTTTCTTCGATGCTTGTTGATCTAAAATGCTTGCAAGCACTGTACGTGCTCTCATTATATAAAAAAAAACGCCTGTGCATTGCCTTATTCTTTGGAATATTCTAAAATAAACAAGAAACAAAATCGTCGCTCGAGGAAGGGTTTACTTTATTTTTTATATAAATCAACGCAGCTTCGTTTTTTTTTTCCGACTGATACTGTTGATATTTTTCAAGGTTGTAACGCAAGTGGTACAGCTCGCAGAAATATGAACTGGTAGAGGGAAATGCAAGCTATTAAAGTAAAAATTATATTATTTGAGCATCTGGTGCATCAAGAAGCTAAAAGGAATGTAGGAATGAACGGCCGCTTTCTCTTTTTTGAGTAAAGTTGAAGCAAAACAAATATGAACGCGATTTCTCAAATAATTAGCGGTACTTAAAATTCACTTACCGAAGGACTCGGTTATCTATGCAAAAATATCCGCATGCGGGTTGTCTTTTAAAAAAGATATGACCGTATGCACCCCCCCCCCCCCCCCCAGGCATCTCACTCTTTCTCAAATATTGTTTGCAATCCGGCTGTGGCGACGAGTTCTTTTTTTCGCGTTAATTGACGACGTCCAAGGTGCTACATAAGTTCACTCGTTCCTGTAGCGTGGCGATGTTCTTAAGAGCTTGGCTCACTATAGACCAGAAATTATTCCGCAACTTCAACCAAATCGTCATAAGTTAAGGATGAGGGGCTACACCATCAGCTCTTTCTGAAATATGCAAATAAGTATATCACGCAAAAGCTAATGAATACACGCGATCAGGCCACGAAAGGCAGGCTGGCTCACTTGCTCTAACAGATGCATAGGCTCGGTATCCTCTTCGCTAACCAATGCTTGTTGAAATGAATCGCTCTCAAGCTAGCATCTGGCACCCAGGCAAGTTATTCGTTAACCCGATATGCGTACTGTCTGAAAGGTTGGATATCTCAAACTTATTTACGACGACCCAAATTCAATCAACCTATTTGAAACATTGAACAAACGCGCAGAAAAATGTACTCGCACTAGTATAACAGGCAGGAAAACAGACACAAAAGATTGCTTTCAAAACTCCTAGAAGTTTATTACACACAGCATATTCGGTACACAAGTATAAACGTGCAAAGGATCTGCGAAATGTACAGACGTACTACTAAGCTTTCATACATCTAAAAAGATTGCAAAGCAAACAAGACCCGGGGCGATTCTAGGCTATATTGACTGTTCCCCCGGCAGTAAAAAAAATAATTTCACCGAAATTATATCGGCCGGCGCCTCTCATTGGCACTGCAATCAGTTCACCGTACGACGATTCATCGCTAGGTTGTTTTACAGGCAGCTATGATTAGCTTTCCTTTTTCTTCCTCTTGGTAAGAAGTTTCCCCAGATTGTTCCCGCAAATGGCTTGTAGGGTTAAAGTTTTTGTAATGAGCCGTCGCAAAATGTCGCCGTGAAGCTTTGTGGACGGCTTGCCGGCCAGTGACACACCCAAGACATAACGTCCCTGCAGCGTGCAATTCGCGTAATGAGTCTCGGTGATATGTTAGTGTCGACGAAACGTGTCCGTGAAACGTGTATCCACGAAAAGATTTCTATGAAACGTGTTTCCACAAAATACCGGACGAACAAGAAAGCCCGCATACTACCAGCAGTTGTCGCATGACTTCAGAGCAGCTAATGGCAGGCCACTGCCCGTAGAATTACAGGAAAATTATTGTACCGGCTGTCGGGAGAATAGACACTGCCTAAATTTATAGATAATCTGGAAGAGTACCCGTAGAAGAACGGTCAATCATTGCCAACAAGTGAGTCGTAGCGCACTTACCTTAAACTTAGCGGACACGAAATATGTATTCCGAGATATATGTCGATTTCGGCACTGCAGAACAATCACACAAAAAAAAAACGCGATGAAAGGGCTCTTCAAGATTCAAAACAATGCGGTACAAGCTGCCATTTTAAAAACCAAACCACACCACGAGAAATTCTGTGACTTCTGTGGAGAAATCGCTTGTTGCCGACATACGCGTAGGACTTTTCGAACACTCATTGCTCTGGTACACTTCGAGTACATTGAAATCAACGCTTGTCACACAGGCCGAAGCTAAGGGTTGACGGCGAGTCAAAGGAATGCTGGGGAGGAGGAAGCAGATGGGTTGCTGGAGAGGTGAGGAGGATACATCCCTTTGCTCCAGTATTTCACCTGCCTCCTTCTCCCCAGCCCGAAAAGCAGGTGCTTCTTCAAGGTCTGCAGGAGGTGCGCCCACAAAAGTCTTATCTTCAAGGGGCATTCCAACACTGAACATCGCGAGAGGATTTGTCATTGGGTACTTTTGAGTTAGTTCTAAAGATCAGAGTGCAGTGGATGCTAGTTTAGTGGTTAGCCAAGCAGTGTCCTTCTTGCAGGTGCCGTGCTCTGGCCGCAGGGAGAATATAGTTGCGTGACCGTAACAGAAAACACCATTGGCCTAAAATACGCATAGCGTCTACTCTGCTGTAAATACTGTGAGAACTGGACAGCAGCAAGAAGGTTAATTTTTGGAGTCCCCATTTACTGCCCAGGCCAAATTTTAACCAAAAACGGGATCTATGAAGATCCTATGTTTTTCGCCGTATGACCCACATTCTCAAGTAAAATGCAGAAATAACTGCGTCGTCTTTCTGCACAAGATGCTTATAAATGAACTGAAATCACAAAGGAAAAAATATTACCCAGAAATGAGTTGTGCCATAGATTTAGCAGCACTCTAGTAACAGCCTTTTTTCCGCGACGGTTCCTACATTAAAAAAAAAACTGTACCATTTTAAAACAATCTAATCCTAAATTCTTTAAATATAGAAAGATTGCCATAACTTAAGTAAACAAAATAAATCAGACACCATGATGACAACAAAGGAGAGTTCTGGCTCCAGGAGGTAACAAATTTTATATTTCAGATATAAAAAAATCAGCAACAGCACTTGCCTATTTGAGGAATTCGCAGAATAGTAAGATAATCGGACGTCCCTAAAATGACGCCCAACTTACGCTTAAGTAATTATAGATTTGTTTCGGGTGTTAAAAATTATTTCGCATGTAGATTTTGTCGTTCACGACCTGGGCGTCAACGGACAAAACGCCGCTGCTTACGCCTTGTCGTGGTGAGTACTACTGTTGACACTTTGCAACGACACTATATCGCGCTATAGACTCGTTTGTTTGACGCGCATGCAGTCTCGAGAGAGCTGTTTCGAGTGTCTGAGCTCGACAGAGCAACGACGCAGCAGTCTTGACACGAGAGCCGAGTGCGGATCGATCTGGTTGACACGCTCGCTCTGCTGAAATGTAAGCGTGGGAATTTCGAGCACCGTTAGCTTGCTGATGTTGCAAGGGGCTGATTTCTCATTGAGAATACTTTACCTTGCAAACTCCTGCGGAGCCGTTCCAGTGCTCGGCGCTCCTCCCTCGCAGCATCGCAACCTTTCTGGCGCCTGATAGGCAAAGAGATCCCGTAGCATCTGCTGTGGTTTATTCTAAATTGAAGTCGAGTAGCCGCGAAATAGGTGAAACGGTGCGACGAGGCGCGTTCTTGAAAAACAAACAGGGGAAAAAATATCTCGTAATCCTACTATGTGGTATCCTATTGAAAATCGCTCTAAGGGGGACTCCAAAATTTTTTAAAGGGTGCGAAGCGGACTTCAGGAATTCCTGAGATGTTTGAAGGGGGCACCGATATTTCCTTGTAGGTTCGTTGGCCCCGTCAGAGGCTCTCCTGAAATGTCTGAAGTACCTTTTACAATGCCTTGAAATGTCTGAAAGCCTGTCAAGAACTTTTCTAATGGGGTCGGTGAAGCCTTCAGGCTTCTTGAGATGTCCGTAGGGCCACGGCTTAGGTGGAGAAAACACACTTCGCAGAATTAGAACATAGCTACTTGTTCGCGATGGGGGAAAAACAAGTATTTAGAGATCGCCGATCGTATGTGTGTACGGTCAAATTTTTATTACTGCCATTCTCTCAGGCACGAGTGGGCTCCTGAAACCGTCTGTCAATGCCCGGGTGTTCGGTCACCAAGGAGGCCACTGGTAGCGACCGCCAGATGTGGAAAATTGACGAGCCGCGGGCCGACTGGTGTTGGCCGAGCGGCGTTTTGAGGCAAACGAAATCCTATCCGCTCGAGGCGAGATCCGTGCAACAAGCAAAGCTTTTTGCACGAAAATTGCAAAAAGGGGCAAGCCGAGAGCAGCGCGTTGCCCAGAAACAAGGACGCGGGGAAGATGGCAAAGGCGAAGAGGGAGCGACTCGTCCCGGGAACAGGTTCCTCCACGGGGGACGGTCCCCAAAAAGTAGAAAATAAACAGAACCTTTTTGTTTCTTACCAGAGTCGGAGGTCCTCTTTTTAGTCGTCAAGAACACGAATAGCAACAGCAACCCACACTGAGCTTCTCTCTACCCGGCGATGGGGTGAGGGGGCAGGGCCGCGTCTACAGTGGTCGGCGGGAGAGAGTGGTAAGCCGGGAGGCCAGCATATTCATATTCTCTCGGCTCGTGGGTGGTCAGCTTGTTGCCGCCGCCGCCGCCGCGGATGTCTGGAGGGAACCAATTTCCTCCAGGAAGGTGAGCATGGCTTTGAGGGCTCGCACATTGGTCTGTTTTGATCCGTGCAGTTTTTTCTTTGGTTCCGCAGGTGAACCCCAGTTCGGCGTTGGCCGCCTTCAGCACCGCTCGAGCGCCACCGTGTTCAGCGCATTCAAGGAGATGGTGGCCGTTGTCGGCCTAAGTGCCGCAAGACTGGCAGTCGGGGTCAGCGTCCCACCACATGTTGTGCCTGTGGACCGGGAACATGGCACTGCGGGTACTGAGACGGCGGATGAAGGCCGCTGTCCGGCCTTGTTCCTTGAGCCTCTTCGTCCGTCCGGCTTCAGAAGCATCCAGCGAACAAAAAATATGTCGAAAACGCCGCCGCGACGGAATCATGGGCGAAACCGTGACTGTGCTCAGGATTTCTCAACGGTGGCGGGTGATGCTTGCGAGTTCGTTGTTTTCGCTAAACGTGCTTACTGGAACTGCGTAAGTGTCCGTGAGGTGCACCTGCTCGGTTTTATTAGCTGAACTACCATACATCAAGAATTTACCCAGCGGCATTGTGAGTACTTTGAAATATTCTTTTTTTGTTATAAAGAACTCAGTTGTCCCTGTTCGATATGATGTAATGCTGGTTCTTATCATCTTTTTGAGTTATAATATGCATGTACAACTAAATGTCCGCAATAAACTTTCAATAACGTTTTGAACTGCATTTTCGTCTATGGTTCACAGTCATTTGGGCGTCTAAAAGGTTGATTGGCTAAGTAAGGGGTTTGGGGAGAAGGGTCTGAGGGGTTGAAGGGCTCTGGGGCTGAAGGGTTTTTCTATGGTATTCCTGAAGGGTTTTTCTGTAGCGTAATTCTGAAGGGTATTGGAGGCCTGCGAGGTCCCATAATCCTTCAAGGTTGATGGGCCCTTTAGACTTATTCTCAATAGGGATTTAAATCTTACTACAAGGAATCTTAATTTTATGTTTAATATTTCCTACCTAGAATTTTGGAAACATTCCCAAATATCCCTCTACCAGCATCTTTGTATAAAACAGATTATTTCTTACCAGTATAATTTTTAGAGCATGCCCCTGAAGTCGATACACCACAGAACATATGTCTGCCTTCAGAGCATATGAATGTTTATTTATTTTCATTATTTTATAAATAAAAATATAACATGCTGATTATACAAATAAAAGTGCTTGGTACACTATGTTTATTAAACCAAATTTATGCTGTACATTCAAATAATAAAATAAGTTCCTGTGCCTGAATCGATAAAAACAAACATTGTTTCCAGGTTAAGTATTCTAAATAATTCAAGTTCTTCTTGATAGCAACTACGTTAAAGTAACGTGACATGATGACTCCCCTTCTTTCTTAATTTACCGTGACAGAACTTCGAAGTATAAGTATATCGTGGTTAGTGTAGGAATTATCATATTCGCGGTAGGGAGTTTAAGTGTTTGCAAACGTTACCCGTGCTCTTTGAAACTAGAAAGTGAAGAATCGAATAGCGATGGTCAGAATTGCCAGAAGTAGCAGAATCCGTAGGGTAGACTGCAAATGTCTTTGCCTGTAATATACAAAGCGGGACGGCTCGTGTCAGTATCCTCGTGAAAATCCGGCTTCGTTTCATGAGTAAATTAATTACATAAAATAACCAGAGGATTTGGCACCTATAGTTTGTTGAACGTTAAGAAGAGAGGGACATGCTCCACCTAAAGTGCGCTTCTCTTTTTTCAATCTAGCGGAGCGAACGCTAGAGAGGCGGTAAGAGGAGACAAGGACAGCACCATTCATAGCATGCAGAAAGCTTTGTGAGAAAGGCTTGTCGGGCCCTTCTACAAATTCACCAGACTGGCGGCCACCTTTTTTTTTTTACAATCTTCGCACTACACTATGGATTATGCTGAAAAATATTTGGGGTACGTAAATGCATAGAATCCTTCGTTTAAGGGTCTTAAATTTTTCCAAATTCGGGGGTAAAAATCGGTGCTTTGTTGCAAACTGGTAATCGAAGTAAAACATGGGTTTTCAATCAGTTTTATTGGAGTTCGGCTTTTTTAAGTATGTTTTAGAAATGTATGTGTAATTAACAATAAAAAAAAACATTCGTCAGTTTCAATATATTGATTAGTTTTTTTACAATGAATTCAATAAAGTATTTCCGATAACAGATGCATGATATAACAACTCACATCGGAACTTCGATTTTTAATAATCCGTGTTGCGAAAAAAGTCATATTCATGAACAGTATCTTTGTCTCTCTCCTAGGCCGGTCCGGCCTTTAAACATGTCAGAATTGCGACAACGTTCTCTCAACATCAAAACTTACGCGCACAATTGCAATGCACATCAATATCACTTCAGGTAGATATGAACAACATATTTGCTGCTTCTTTTCAAAAATGATTTCAGTGAAGTTTTTCATCCTTTGTATTTATTATAATATTTCTGCACTGATTGAAACAGAGAAAGAAGTCCAAAAGAGTATTCACAATAGACATGAAAGCGAAATTTTGGTACCATACCTATGTCACTGCGGTTCACTGAATACAACAAAATTTAGTTTGGTTTCCGAGGGCAGGAGCAATAAAATATTTTCCGAAGAGAGTCGTTATTAACATGCTGGAATTCAATTTCTGAATTCGGTGAAATGTGCTTCAACTCTATTTCGAAGAAACATGTTCGGAGTTCAAATATTGGGAAATGGTGAGATTTATCGGAACAGGAAGGTCCCTATAGTATATGTATATTCTTGGGCCTAAAAACAGATGTTATTGGTGTCGTTTAACGTTACTCCTATCGCAACCATTTGTCCTTGGGTTTTGATTCCGCTAAAAATTGCATCCTAGAAGTTTGACTTTACAAGAATAACACACTATTGTAACCTGAAGCGCATGCTCGTGAAGTAGAAGCTAGAATTCGTACTCCTAATGACCAAACATGCAATTCATTTAGAACTTTTTTTAAGAAATAAGAAGAAATATACAATTAAGGAATGGAACTACAATACAAGTGTAAATGAATCTATTCTATCTTAAGGGTACAAAAATGTTCCGGTTTACCTTTCCCTCTGAATCGGCGAATCAGAAATTGTTGCAGTCCGATGCTTCTCCAGGTAGCGTCGAATTCCTTTCACGTAGTTCTCCCAGTATATTTCCCAATTTATGCAACGAATGTCCATGTTAAATATCTGCAAGATGTACGGCGAAGTACGGCAAGAAAACTTCATGTTTTCTACGTGCTCTGTCGTGAGGTGAATTGTGTAAGGTGAAATGCGTGCACAAAGGAACCCAACAAGGAGATTTCGTCCTGTCCTGTACATAGAAATAAAAGACGCTGAGCAATAATTTTTTCTTAATATTTCTCGATTAAATATTGCGGCCGATTATAATACAGTTTAGCGCCTTGGGTTTGACAATCGTGAAACCCCAGTTTGAGAAGCGCCTAAAATAAAATAACTTCTAAAATATCAATTAAAAAAATTGTAAAGCGCTTAAATGGGACACGTGTTTCATTAAAGATTAAAACAAAGTGTATGTTTTTGTTGCGCAATATTTATGCCGCTTGGTGTGATTTAGGAGGTGGTAGTGCTACTTCGCTACCACCACCATTAGCAGAATGTGTTTAGGTAGCTTAACACCACTTCAATGTCGTTGACTAGAGAGATTATTTACCTGTGGAATGTAAGGTGAAAAATTGTTTCTACCCTGCCGTGACTGTTTTCTATTCAATGTATCTTAATATTTGAGAAAAAATATATCTCAATAAAGTAACAGCTGTTGGCAACTATAACACGAGATCTGCGCTTCAAATTTGATTTTAAACGATAACAAACATGGCTGTTTGCGTTCTCGACGAGTACTCCCATACACCGCGTAATTGTTGACCGTTGTTTGTATGAGTGTGAGTTATTTCTCGTTCTCCGAGATGTCTGGAGGCAGATCTCAATCAACTTGGTTTAGAGCAAACATCTGTCGTAAATGAATGCCTTCAGAAGTGTTGTGCGGCTGCATGTTTTCTAGCGGCACTTGCGTAAGCTTAGCGTTCTACTTCAACTCTTTCGCTTGATATGGCTTGATTTGTGTTTTGCTCGTCTTGATTTAGAATAAGTAAGTTTGTTTCCGGAGAAGTGCCTTCGCTGCTTCGTTGAATTGTGCAACCGTCGTTATTGTAACCATGAGCCGAGTACTGCGAGGATACCTACAGCTAAACATTGTGAGGCCATATAGCTCGAAGCCATCGGGTGTTATCCTAGAATCATGTTTGTGCAGATATTCTCCTTTTGTAGCAGACTGCAGCCCGTACACTTGACTGAGGGTTTATTTTAGGCGATAGTGAACAAGGAAACTATCGAATTGATAGAACTGTTTTTTTTATTACACGTAGGACGGCTTGGCGATCAAGGCTCACTTGTTCGCTGGCCATCAGGGTCGCTCACAGAGTTAAGGTTTAGGCAGGCGCTTTAAATTCGGGGCTCTGTGTCCGGTCTGGAAGGCAAACTGGTGCATTCAAGGTCAAAGTCCGCGCCGAGTGCGCGTTTCTCGCTGCTGTGGCACGTTCGCCGCTGCAGTCTTTTTATTCGCAGCTCGCAAGCTCCACGCAAGCTGGCGCTCCATTCTTGGTGTCTCTGGCAGACCCCGGGTATCCGCATTCGGCTCCTGCTTTTGCCTCTTTTTATTTTCACCCTCTTTCCCCCGAAAGTTCTTCGTCCACGACCGTGTCTTACTTCTCGCCTTTTACCCTGCGCAAAGAGCTCGCACCCCCCCCCCCCCCCCTTCTCTCTTCCTATTTTCTCCGCTCTTGTTTCTGATCGAAGAATCTGGGAAAAGCGCAGGTGCCCTGATCAAGGTCACGCGAGGTGACCTTGATCTTATTCCTCTCGTCTCTCGCGATCGTCTAGAGATGGTTAGGGGGTTCACTTCAGTTCGCACCGGAACAGCTTTTAAGTTTAGGACAACGCACCTGGCTTGTAGCAGGTTATATTTTTAGTTATCGTTTTAATTGTCTTTTATGACACTAATATACCTTGCTTGCGGACAAGTAAAAAATATAAACATTTAAAAAAAAAGGAAGAATGTCTGCATTATCATTTAGTTGAATTAATGTTTCGTCGTTTCCTACGTTTTTTAGTGGGCGTCAACAGACGCTGAGAGACACTTGTATTGTGCTGTAGCTTGTGCGCGATTGATGGATAGAAAGCCACTTTAATGGTCGAGGCTTGATGGCGTTGAAGAAGATTATAGTCGGTGGTGGAATAGCACACGATGCAGGAGGCTTCCGCGAGTCTGCTCGCACTACTAGCAGGTGGTGTCAGACACCAGACTAGACGCACGAAATGTCGCGACAGGGATCGACGCACTAGTCGTTTGTATGCGTTGGGATGAGCTACGAAACCGAGAAAGTAGTAATAGACGGGTCCACTGATCTCTGGGTGGGGCTTAGAGCGGGCCGTGACCTCCACTTAATTGTGCCTTTTGGCGTAAATATTGCTCACAATACTGGCACCTTTTGGTGGAATTCTCTTTTGTATTATACGAGTTTTATTTAGGCACAATATTTTCTCATTTAAGCTTTCCTTCACTGGGCTTAGTTTGGAATCTGTTCTGAAGGTAGCGATTAAGGAAGACCTCCACAAAAGGTTAAGTGACTAATATGCTTAGAGAATGTTTCACCTACGCACCTAAAAAAATCTGACCTCTCAGAGCACTAATGAAGTGTACATTTGGGTTAACTGGTAATGCTGAGAAAAGCATAAGCAGTAAAAAAAGGACAAACTGTTCGGCTATACGTTTCTTTGACTTGTCCCTTGTCTCTATTTGGGATGCTGCTCTTCCGCCATAGACCTCCTGCGCTCAAGCTTCGAACAAACAGTGGGGCTTTTATTTTGGGTAGTACAGCCTCACCTGACTGGACCTCGCGCTACTTACGTCACCTTCGCATTGCTTTTATCTTTCTTAGCAGTGCTGAAGAACAGAAGAACACTTTTCATTGTCCAAAATCGGATATATTAAACGTGGCAACACAATTTAAAGTGCAAAATTCATGCAACCCCCTCCAGGGTAGGCATATTTCATCTCTGCGTGGGGACGTCAAAGAATCTGGCGTCCCGAGGCTTTTTTTAGACATTATTTTAACCCTGGAGAGTGCGGACAAGGAGTACCGCAGGACATAAATCTGTGCGGTCCTCCTTGTGCCCACATACCAGGTTAAAAATAATCTGTTTACTCAAACAGGGTTAGACCTCGTCACGCTTTGGATTTGCTTTCCTTTTTTTTTTTGGGGGGGGGGGGGGGGGGGAACGCGTAAAACGACGTCTTTTTTTGCAAGCTTTTAGCATCTTAGTTTTGACCGGTGCTTCGACGGCGTTCGAATTTTCTTTGTTTCTTTGTATTTTGCTCTTGAGCTTGTGTTCCGCGCCAGACCAGGCACGCTTCTCCATGTCTGGCACGTCGGTACACTCAAGTGTGCAGTACTCAAAACAAGTCCAAACGGTTCACTTTTCTTAGCGTCCCTTGGAAAACCCAAAAGGCCTATATCACTCCTTTTGTGGGTAACCTTAAGGTACTCAATACCTGAGAAAGCAAATTTCCGGTGAATCAAACAAAAGGAATGTGTTTTATGGCTGCAGGGATTTTGGACTTCATATTTTGAAACTTTTTTAAAGATACTAATCTGTAATTGGCACCTGTGCGATATTTCAGACATCTTGTGGTGGCGTCTCAAAACTACACGCTTTACTAAGGCTGGAAACTATTGGTCACCGTTGATAATTTGAGAGCGACATGGACGTACATTTTCATTGCTTCGTGTCAGGTCACTCTTTATGCAAGAAGGTGTGAATGATAATAACAAAGATCAGATCAAATTTTGTATTTTTTGTGAATCACTTCAAAAACTACGATCTTATAGCTTTGAATAGTAAGGGTATGCTCACGCGTGCCTCACATTAACGGACAGTTAAAATGAGCTATAAGGCAGGAGCAATTATTTCTGGAGCTGTACATTCTATAAAACCTTCTATGAAGAGTGCAGCTTGCATTCATGCGCTGCCGCAACACAGCATTCGAAAGCTATTTGTGCAAATGTGCTTCTAAATATAGCCGTCGTATTCCAGGAGAGCGATGGTGCCAGGCAGACGAGTAATATCGAAATCATGAAAAAACATTAACAAGAGCTTAATTCTTAAAAATTCTGGCATGCTGTGTTATCTTTTTTAGACATCCTTCTCTGTTTTCTATGGGATACGACTTTGCACAAGAAAGTAATGAATTCCCTAAAATGTGAAGAGGTCAAACCCTTCCGTTACAGAATGCACGAATGTATGCGTCAAGATGCACATGCAATAAAACAGTGCATGTAATTGGCTCATAGTTATTGATTATTTACGACAATAAATTTACCAGATAAAACAATACGGTCGCTCCAAGTTTTAGTGTTTCTAGGCAGCTCTCAATTAGGCTTTTGTTTACTTCTCCGCTGTTTACGGTCGGTCGTCTTCAGAGGTATAATATTGTTAACTTTGTAAAATATCGGTGATCGCTCTCAAGCTATTGTTCGATAGGATAACTTAGGAACTTTGCTTTTTCGCACGACTTAGTGTTTAGACATCATAATAACACCCTCCATAAACTTTGTACCATGTACTCTCCAGCATAGTCCTTACAGAAAATTCAGAAATGGTCTATATCAAGGTGCTTTTTTTTTGCCGAATGGCTAGATAATATTGAGCTAGGTGTATATTTATTTTATTTATTTCATTTTTATTTCATACCTCAGTTAGCTTGCTGCAAAAGGTAGAGGGGTATTGTAAAAGAGGGTTACAAAATGTGCAATTGAATACAGTTCGACATGATAAGGCCGCTCACTTGCTATGAGGTGACCAGCCGGGGCAGAAGGTTTTCAAGTGAAACTGAATTAGGGATGCTGGAGTAAGTTTATTTCAACCTTATATAGCTCGAGGAAGATACGCGCTTTGAACGAAATTTATGTGAGTCGGGAATTCTTGGGGTATCTCAGTGTGAAACTGCAGTGCTAAGGTCCGTTGCAACTCATGAAGGTAGGGCGAGGGTAAGACGGGCTGGGAAGGAGGAAGCAGATGGAACGCTTGAGAAGAGAGGGGAAAACCTCCTTCTCTCTTTAGACTTCAGTCTGCTTCATCCAACCTGGCCCGCCTTACCCTTGTTCTACCTTCTTAAGTTGCAACGGACTGTAGTTCTGGTGGTATGTGGGTGATCGGGTACACAGTAATGATGCCAAGTAAATAACTTCGGACCTAGTTTTATCATCATGAATACATAAATTCGTCTAGAAACAAAGTCGATGTGTGCGTCCTTTGTCAGTTATATCTCGTTTACGCAACAAGAATAGGAGCGTCGAAACCATTCCGGGGATTCGGGGGGAGGGGGGGGGGGCGGGGTTAGCCAAATTTTGCGCCCGCTCCATACTAATAATTACATTAAACCCTGAACTATGTAAGGCCGAACGGTCGTCCCACCATGGACCCCCTGTGTCGACGCTACTGAACACTAAATGCAATTGACCTATTCACCAAAATCACTAAATATAAACTCAGACGAAGGAACAGGGGGGATAAAAGAAGCCGTCATGCACAAGAGTATACAAACCTTCCTGTCCAGCGGAGTGTTATGCGTATGGAGCTCGATAAACTTCTCGGAGTTAAATTTCCAGTTACGTGTAGTGAAGAAGCGTGTAGTGAAGAAGAAATACTGGTATTTCTTCAGAATATCCACCATCCTGTGTGTAGAAATAATGATCAGCAGATTAATACGTAGAAACCTGGAAGGGGCGAAGATTTTAAGTTTGCATTGCATTTTGTTTTTAACTGCATGTTTTAGGAGAGACAAGGGACACTTTGGCATTAAATACATGCCCAATCGAAATCGCTCTTTACAATATTTGCCTTTAGATCTTCATCAGCAAGCATGTAGATATTTTAAAGTGAGTATTTTAAGAAGGGTACGTATGGTAACGTTCATATATTCATAAATATTTTTGGCTCAGTCGGAAAGCGGTGAAGAGGCTCCCCGCGCATGAGAGGATGAGGCAAAAAAAGAGTGAAGGTGCTCTCGCACGTTAAACGAAGCTCTACACAAGCAGACTCAATTCTCCTCGCAATGTATCACACATCTCAGTAGTATGTTTATCGCCCGTTGTAGCTCGTCTATAACTAATTGTCAGGGGGCAATGGGTACGGCGTAATACTTCCTTTTGCTTTAAAGAGACAATGAAGACGATTCGGAAGATAGAAATAACCATTGTAATAGCTGACCTCAAAGTATTAACCTGAAGTTGCGCTTGCGAGACACAGATATTAATTTAACAGATTCAGTAAATTTCACGCTGAGACCCACGACAGCGACGCCTGAGTCTCAGAAAAAAAAGACCACTTTTGATTGACGTAGAGAGTGACACCAAGTGAGGCACATCAGACGATTTGTCCAAGTGAGCAAAGTCCGCTCGCCTTCGAACAGACCACAGTGTTGAGCAGTTCGCAGACCACAGTGACTGTCCTCTGCTCGACGCGCCCACCGGGAAATGATTCCACATGTCACATGTTGATTACAACCATTGCTGACTCGATCGTCTGCTTTGACATCCTCGTGTGACTCTGTAAATTCTATTAACCTTATTTTTCCCAGGAAGGAAGCTACACTTCAAAATGTCACCGATTGAAATGTAGCGCCTTAATACATACTCGGTGAAAATTCAAGTTTTCTATGTGCAGGCACAGACTTTCTCTGCTTGTTTTAAAGCACTCAGCTTCAATGTAAGCAAAAAGACTGTCAAGAAAGTGAAAACCGTGTCTTTCGCCCCGGGTAAATAAAATATGCATCGCAGAAAGCTCCCATTTTTTTAGAAGGTGACGCACGTGTCTGGGATAGAGCGCCAAATCTTGAGAATATGGCTTTGCTGCATCCAAGGATATAAATGCAAAACGAAATTTCCTCAAAAGCTGAAGTCCACAAAAACCTAAAATTGTCAAAACATAAAATTGCATTTCTTGGTGCACGTGTCATCTACTTAAGTGTAAAACTTGCCCGCAAAAAAAGAAAACAATATTATCTTTCTTACTGACAAGGTTCTTTTTTTACATTTATTAATAGCACAAGGATCCACAGTGTCAGATTGTGCTTCGACTACATTAGGGTTAGGTGGACGTCGGCTCATAAGAAAATTTAGTTTACTTGAATTACCTCTTGATCCAGGCACCGCCACGTTTTCAAATTGTCGAGGCATATTCCAATCGCTACCGTGACATTCTCACGGTGTTTAAGATTTCGAGAAATGCGTAGTTTAGTTATCGGAGCCGAAAAACACAGTTCTCTTTTCTCGGGAGATCATTGTACATTATACCATGAAAGGAATGTATATAGATGTAACAAACCCGAGACAGAGATTTGTTTAACCTTCATATCACCGTAGAAAACCGTTACACTAAATTAGGAATTAATAATGCAAAATGAATAGAATACCAACCTCATATTCTGTTTTCTTCTTGGCTGCACAAGGTCAAAGAACAATGCAGGAAGATAGTTGAAGAGGAAGACGGCGACGGCCTGGTAAAATGGACTCATTGTCATGTCCATTCCTGGACGACAGAAATTGGTCTCTGGTGTGTGCTTTCGCCCCAGCTTGGTGGTAAGGACCGCAATTTCGCCGTAGGTGATCTTGTTGATGGCGCCACTTGTGCAGTTGTACACCGGTAGATCCTGTCTGGATTGCGCTTGGGAGGTTCTGCTTGGTTGCAAAAAACAAAATGCAGTTGACACGCTCCTAATATGTTCCATAAATATGTGGCAGAATGATTAATGTATGGAAGACAAGACCTGCAGACGATCGTGTAGCAAAGAAGAGAAGAGGACCTACCCATCGACACTAAAGATTGACCCACTCCCCCCCCCCCCCCCCCCCCCAGCGCCTCTCTGGAGACATTTTATTTACTCCTCAGAACTGAGAACCCGGAAAGGATTCATAAAAACGAAAATGTTCTTTGGCTCATTCAAATGGTCGGCTCATTCAAAACTCTTTAAGAAGGGCTTTCACACACCGCAGAACAGCTTTGGAATAAAAGCGGATAGGCTCAGAAAATCAGGGTGACCGTAAGACCGAATGTCACATGTAGCATGCACCCCGTGTAGGAGAGCAAAAGGTGTCCAGGCCACAAAACGTAGTATGTAAAAAAAAAAAACGGTGGAGATCCTGTACATAGACAGGGTGCTTCATAAATTAAAATACTAATAAAACAACTTTGGAAGGTTTTTTTTTTTTTTTTTGAGTCTCAGTGTTTTTTTTTAGCAATTAGCAAAATTTTGCTAGGTGTAAAGGTTAACGAAAACAACAAAGCTAAAGCGTATAATAAGCATGATAACACGTTTGTGGATGTACTTCGGAAGTTGTGCGCGAGATTCCGGTCCCCTGTAGCAGCAGCTGCTTCGTACAAACGGAATGGTGAGTGAACGATACATAGGCGCAATGAGCACTGCTCCTGTTTGGGAGCTTCAGTCGGAAGACGCTTTCCAATCCACTGTAGGGGATGCCTGTGCCAACCCTCCGTCAGGAACATAATCATCTTAGGAAGACACTAGGACAAAGTGGCTCGGGAGGTATTGATTCCCAAGACAGGTAACTTCACGTTTTTAATCATGCTGTCAAACCAAACTCAAACCCAAGCCGAAAACCTAACAAAACCGTTTTTTTTTACCAAACCGGAACAAAATTCAATTCGAAATCAAGCATTTGCTAATGAACCCCCCAAAAAAAACAAAAACAAAGAACAATCCTATACGACTGTTTTCGGTTTGTTGGGAAACCATTTCGGAGAAACGAAAAGCGAGTCAGTTATTAAACTCTTGCGTGGATATCGCGCGCATTACAACGGTAGCTGAAAGCGGAGCGGACCACATCATATAGTTGAGCGGGCCGCACCAGATACCAGTCCGTGCCGCATAGGATAGCGAAGCACGTAACGTATGGATAGCGAAAGGGGTCGTAGAGGGTGGTGTAGCGGACCTCATCGCATATCTGAACGGACGACCTAGCAGAGAGTGGAGCGGGCAGCATTGGTTAACAGATCGGATAGCATTGCATAACTAAGCGGGACTGAGCGGATATCAAAGTGGGGAGCATAGGACGGCGGCAAGAGGGCCATATTGAATAGCGGAGCGGGCCACATATGGGACAGCGGGGTGGCGTAGAGGGTTGTTGGAGCGGAATGCATCGGGAAGGGAAGCTGACAGTAACATCAGGGAGTTTTAGTGAACCGTTTCCGCTGTCCCGCAACACTCTCCGCAACCAGCTACGCTATCCGGAACTCTACAGTCAAGGCCATCGGCGCGCCGGCGCAGTAGCGACTGCTTCGTTGCGGAGGGCTTAGCGGAGGGGAAAACGCGGTCTCTGAAAACTTCCTGTCATCTCAAAAATTTCATCGTAATGTATAAAGAGACACCACGGAGTCTCTCACAAGGACGCCGTCGTGTACGTCATGCAGTAACTGCGGCGCAATTTGAAAACTTCGTCGCGCTGTGCGGAATACTGTGAACGCGGTTGCATACGGAACGTTTGGATGATAGATCAAAGGCGCCCTTAATTTTTTTTTAGTATGAAAGCAATAAAATAATTTTTCCGCGTCACTATATACTTAAGAAACCGACGGGACGTCCTGGCAATCGGCTCCCCCATCGCGTGACCACAGCCTACAAAACTCGTTGCGCGGCACTTTCAGGGCGGGGCCGAATGGCCCCGCCCTGAAAGTGCCGCGCAACGAGTGTGGAATGTGGAAAGCAAGCCGCTTACCACGCATTTTTCTTCAGGCTAGTCTTTCGTACAAAACTGTGGCTCGCCACAAAGTTAGACATGTTTTTTCGGTACCATGCCCCTTTGACCTTGCCATGCGTTTTTTTTTTTTTTTTTTATTATTCAAACTCTATTTGTGCTGTTTCTGTCCTTTGCTACGTGGCGTCTATTCTTATGAGAATGTTGCTGATTGTCGCCGGAGCCGTCGAGGTGAATTCAGGCCCATTTACTCAGGAACAGGTGCACAGAATTCTAGAAGCAATGGAAATGCTGCCGAGCATCAAAATGAGGCAAGAAGCGCTACTAACAGAACTTACAACCATCAAACAAAAGCAGATAACGGCAGAAGAAAAGCTTACGTCGCTTTCTATGAGGCTTGATTCCCTCGAGAATGACGTTGCCTCATTACAACCACTTGAAACTGAAGTAAATAAAATGCAAGCCGCGACGACGGCACTTACTGAACAGTTGGGACAATTAGCCACCAGTCACGATGATCTGAAATATCGCTTCCGGAGAAACAAATTAATCTTTTATTGCGTTGCCGAGGGAACAAGCGAGACGTGGGAAGTGTCGGAAGCAAAGATTGCGCAAGTGTGCGACGAACTTCTCTGATTTAAACTTGAGGGTGTACATGTTGAACGTGCTCTTCGTATCGGCCGGTTACAAACAGACCAATCATTGTGAACTTTTCATCCTTCAAGATTAAACAAGGAATGCTGTCGCAAGCCTTTAAGTTCAGGGACAGCAGAACAGCAGTTGGAGAGGACTTCTCTGATAACGTCCGTCATGAAAGAAAGAAACTTCTAAAATTTTCCAAATCTCAAAAAAAAGAAAAAAATTTCAACTGCGTTTTAACAAACTGGTTATTGGTAAAAAAAAACCTACAATGTTGACCCAACAGACATGTGCGTGATAGAAATAGCTGCACAGCTACCGGCCCGGCATCCCTTGAATCCTGTAGTCAATAGGACCGAACTACTGAACGAACATGATGTGTTACTTCAGAACTGCCGCTGTATTAAAAATAAAGTTGACTTGACAGAACTACTTGATTTGACTAGGCCTAGTATAGTAAAAGGCACAGAATCTTGGCTTGGTGAAGCGATCAGTGACGCGGAAGTGTTTCCGTCTGATTATGTCGCTTATCGACCGGGCAGCAACAGCCATGGCGGTCGCGTATTCCTGCTGATTCATAACAGCCTACAAACCATCCCCGTTGATTTTTCGGATTATTTATTTGAATCTGTCTGGTGTAGACTGTCCTTGCGTGATGATAAATTTCTTGTTATCGGTTCCCTTTATAGACCACCTGCGTCTAGCGACGAATGTATCCAAACTATATCAAAATCCCTGTCCTCAATTTCGTACGACTATATTGAATTGGGAGAGGATTTCAATTTTCCAGACATACGCTCGGACGAGGGGATTCCGGTTGCCTTGAATGCATCTGTGCAGTACAGGGCTTTTGTGAACCTTGTTCCGAGTTTCACTCTACATCAACACGCTACATTTCCTTCGCGCTTAGACGCTAGGAGAAATAGTACCTCGGATCTAATATTCAGCAACGATAGTTCTATTGTGTCATCCGTTTCCACCCTTCCTGGCATGAGCGACCATCCGACAGTAATCGGGAAAATAGAATCCGCGAAGAAACTAACGGCATGCCTTCGAGGAAAATTCTTTTCTACGCTAAAGGTGACTACGCGAGCATAGCTGACGAGCTTTTTAATTTTTTTTCCTTTGTTTAAAGGAACCAGTATCGGTGCTGATGTAGATACATCATGGATTATGTTCAAAACCAAGTTGAAGGCGCATAATGATATTTATATTCCCTCAAAAGTTATCACACCGAGAAGACGGAAAGATAAACCATGGGTAAACAAATAAACAAAGAGCTAAGAACTATTGCTAAGAAAAAAAAGGCGTGTATATGTGAAATATAGACAAAATTGCGATCCTGATTTTTGGGCCGTCTGAAGGAGCTGACAGCACTTCTTAAGAGTAAAGTGTCTTACTTTAAAACTATATATCACGATTCCCTCGGTGATAGGCTAAAACGAAACCCGAAGGAATTCTGGAAGTGTGTGAAAGCATCATAGGAAGACGTGATAGGCATTCCTCCTATCAGTGATTCGGCTCGGCTATTTGATAATGGTAATGACATTATTTTCAATCTGTATTTTCGTCACCTATAGTGGGTGCCCTTTCCTCCATTTCCAGAATCTTAGAAGATAGCATGCCTGACATCGAACTAAGCCAGGACGGAATTTTGAAACTGATAAATGGCTTGAATAAAAACAAAGCTACCGGACCGGACGGAATGCCTTGCCGCGTACGAAAAGTGTGTTCTATAATTTTGTCATTTATCTTGCACGTGTTATTTGATAGATATTTGTCCTCTGGCAGCCTACCCAAGGAACTGAAAACAGACCATGTTGTGACAGCTCACAAAGGCGGGAATAGAAACAAAGTAGAAAACTATAGACCTATTTTCTTATAGTGTGTATGCTCAAAAATATGAGCACATATACTTTACAGTAGCCTTGCGAAACACCTTGACAGAAATAATATTTTAATTCCGAATCAGCACGGGTTCAGAAGTGGTTTCTCATGTGACATTCAACTAGTAGAATTCTACCACAATATCGCTTATTCGCTTGATAAAATGTACAGGTAGGCTGCATTGTTCTGGATTTTCAGAAAGCATTTGACATGGTCCCTCACAAATTAATTTCGCGAAAAGTGAAATCAACTTCCAACCGAAAGGAGTAAATTGACGCATTGCGTTCCAATCATTTTTTTAAACATTCCAAACATTTCAATGTTTTTTTTTTTTTTTTTTTTTTTTTAACAGCCTGAGCTTTGCTGGTCAAGCTAAATTTCTGAGTCATTTGTGTCTTAAGTTAAAAAGGGAGAATTAGGTGGCAAACCAACGAAGGGTGTTTGGCCTGCCCAAAAAAAGAGAGCTGGGGAAACGATTTTGACCGCCTGGGGATCTTTTGACGTGCAATGACATTTTGGTTGCACGGCGCCTACTCTGCAATACGCCTTCGTCAGATTGTGGGCACCTCGCCCGCGATTCAAATTCGTATATGCGAATTCGTAGGCCGGCGCGTTGCCTCGATACACCGAGGCGGCAATTTGTGTACTGATTACTTGTTTGTCTCACCTGCCTCGTAGTGTTGCTTGACAAGCAGCGATGATCAGTGCATTGGCCACGACGTCTACCGGAATGATGTCCATAACTGCACTTTTGTCTGCCACGATAGTTGTTACCACGCCTGTCACACCCTGCGTTTAACAGCGGGAGTTAAATTTACCGGGTGTTTTGTTTTTAGTACTCGCAGATTTGTTTACAAAAATCCGTTAAAGCGGTTCCTGCACGATAGTTATGCGGCCAAGATACATACTATCTGTGGCTACGTGTCACGATAAGTCGGTTAATTACCTAAACTATGCAAATTAACTTTTAAATGCTAAAATTAACATACTGTTTTCATTCGAAACTTGCTGAGTGTCATCTAAAACCACTACATCTGCCAATTTTAGAAGTGCAGGTAGCACGTGGGAAGCAAGGTGGAGCACTAAATTTAGCACTTGTGCAGCGGAAGTGAATTTACATTGTGCGGCCACGGTCCCTGGCCTGCTGGACGAGTAATAAATTTAGCAATCTACTGCGCATCCCGCGAGCTCATTCGCTTTGCATAATATTGAGTTAGTAGTCTTCATTGAGGTTTAGCAAATTAACATTTGTAACCATATGTTTTTTTAATTAAAAGGTGATTAGTAAAAATCAGTTAAATGTTGGACATGCGGGGACGATCAGCCTCGAATATTATGTCACCCTGGCCGTATAACTCAGCTCCGCAGTCTGCACTAGTGTAGATTTCACGACTTCTTCTTTAAACATTGATGTTAAATCTGACAAGCAGTGCGTAGTGGTAGCACACCATACGAAGCAATGTGTCTCAAGCTTTTCATAAAATAGTTAAGTGACATTTGACAAAGTTCATGTACCTCAGATAGCTATAATGCACCTTTACTCGCGTAAATATAGATTTAACTTATTCTCGCATTAGTCTGTGTTTCTCTTTTTGAGAGGTAACGTTGGTATTCAAATACCTGGTCAGGAATTCAGAATTGCCTAGTGTTTTTTCGCCTGCTTTTACAGCACGTTGTTTATAGTGCATACTAGCCATTCGTCGTAAGCTCTGGTTGGCAGCTTGGCTTGGCAGCTGCTTGGTAGCCGGGACACAACCGAACAGTTTATGAATTCCACCAAAGCTGTAATACAATTTCTGAGAAACACAGGACTTTCGGACATACTCTAAATGACTGACAACTTTATATGAGACTGTTTACATAATTCGCTCGATCATAATCATCTTCATTGACAATTTTCACCTCATATTCCTACCCCACTGCTAGGTCTTTCCTTCCCCCTCTCCCTATCCCCGGTGCAGAGTAGCAAACTAGAACTGACGTTCGGGTTAAAATCTCTGCCTTTCCTTCATAAAGCACTACTACTGCTGCTTTTTTCAGGCAGAAGATTTTGAAGGCGAAGCAAGGGTATGAGGAACAACACAGGCGAGCAGCAGAGCGACATTCACAGTGAACCTGAGACAAAGTAATAATAAAAAAAAAGCGCACGGAACAGCATATTTCACGCTTCGTTGTTTTATCATACTTTTATTGTACATTTGTCTCTGGTTTACAGTAGAAGCAACAGTATTTTTTGACTTATTACGAACTCATGACCCTGAATTATTACGCAACGAAATGTTTGGTCATCTCTCATACTCGCTTGAACTTAAAAAATTGCCTTTTCTATAAGCGAGCGTGTCATCAAAAACATTTAAAGATGCAAAGCACGTATAAAGTCTATTAGTCAGTAACCCAAATTGTCAAATGTAAGTTGAATTGAATTTTGAAATTGCGCAAAGTCGTTTCACAAATATGCAGTCAAAAAGAGCACTGTTTTTCTAAAAAGAACCAGAGAAGCAAAATATTTCCTCATCAATCATCACAAATAAAAGCAAAAAAATATATAGTGCGAAATTAGAAGCCGGCCGTTTTTTGTGTACAGGTAGAATCACAAAAATGTCGTTGGCATGTGAAACCATGAAAGGTAACAAACCGTCCCTTTAATAATGCTTTATTATTAAAATGTTTCAATTGCCCGCTTAAAGTTGTTCGTTCAGATTAGCCTAAAATAGCTCCCGTACACAAAAGTCTAAAAAATACTGCTTTATACTGCTTTATATTTGTAATTTTATGCTTATATTTTTAATTTATATTTGGAAAATAAAATCAACAACCTAGACTAGATTTTTGTCACATTCGAATTTTAAAACGCGCGGGGTTGATGATTTTATTTATTCATATGGGCAGTACAAACATTCATTTATCTGACGCTATTTTGGCAGCATTGCATCTTTCCTCGTTCCTCTGTCCTCATCGTAAATTAATAACCAACACGCTCAACCATCTGCATCTATGTATACCGCCAAATTTTTGCATTTTAATAAAATCGTACTTCTTAGGGTGCGCGAGAAAATCATACTCACTGATGCCACCAAAAGGTTTACTCCTTGTAGTCCGTCCAGCCAGCCCTATGAAATTGCCAAAACCCTGAACATTATTTTGTGTTTCATACTAATAAGCGTGGGATATATTTTACGTATTAGTCAGGCTAATAGTGAAGATCTGAAAACGTCAAGTTTTACCTCCAAAAGTTTGTATAAATGTTCAAATTACGTAGCGAGACCGCCCTTCCTCTTTGAATACCAAGCAGAGAACGATAGACGTTTTCTGTAGTTGATACAGCTCAACTAAGACCTTATCGGGGTGCACAACAAAAACCTATATGAATTAACTCGTGATATTTATTATGATTTCAATCGCACTAATCTAACTGATAATCAAAATCAAACATTTTTCGACAAAACCATCTCGACGGTATATTGTAAATACCAGTTTTCTATCATTTATTTTCCGCTTAAATAAAAACATGTATTTTATAGGAGAGATTTATATCAAGCAAGCAATCTTCAAAAACACATCGAGTGACAAAGATAAATATTTATTTTTATAAATCTGACATAAACAAAAATACTACTGAATTAATCTATTACAAATAATGACTTGTTCTGGTGAGAGACAAATTGAGCAAACAAAGCATATAAAATCTTAGAATAAGCTGGAATAAAAATTTAAATAAAAGTAGTTTAATAAGGGTAAGCATAACTATAAGTGCAAGAGACGAGGGGTTCGTCCCTATATTGAGGCGTTGGTTATGCGTTTAAAACTCAATGTATCGCACAAAAACCAAATATACTCGAACATGAGATATCATTTTCATGCATGCATTTGAGCACATGTAGCAATGAGCTCTTGTGAATTATGCAAGAGCAGATCTGTTAGACAAGTTTCTGTATCGGGACTATCGTTTTTTTTCATATTGACCTTATGTATCTAAGCGATATTACTTTTGACGCAAATGAAAATGTGGAATATGAGTGATATTCTAATTTCAGTTTTTGTCTCTCTAAAAAAGGTACGATTTTTTTACTTTTATTAAGGTTCTAAAGTTTACATGACAAATTCGACTATCCTGAATTACGCAGAGGATAAATTACTTCAAGTGTTATACCAAACAGTCCCCAAATTCTGACATTCTAAACATATGCTCAACTATGTACTCAAATTCAGTCTAATAAAAAGACTAACACTTCACCAATCTGAAATATGACAACATCACTTTTCATTTGTGAAGGCGAGTCTTGCGGGATAATATCAATGTATATCCTCATGGTGGTGCTAGTCGTCATGCTGGGCAAGACAAAGAGAAGAATGAAGGACTAAACTCCCATGAATGCATATCCAATGTGACTTTTATTTGCTCATATGTTTCTAAGAGCTTAACACAAAACTTGTTCTACAGGGTGTCTCCGAAAACAACAACAAAAAACTAAGTTATTTATAATTGCATGAATAACGTGCATTTTTCAATACTCAGATTCCGCCCAAATGTTGCGCTATTAGTCTGGTCCGGATGCCAAAGTTTCAGAACAAATCGTTATCTTACACAAATGTTATAAGCCCTTTTTTAAAATTTGATTGCTACGCTGCGGTCCGGAAAAGCTCACGTATGCAGTGGGCTGAATGGCGCAAAATACAGAAAACGGGTACAATTTTCTCATTGAAAGATAAAAAAAACACAAACTTTCTAACGTTTCTTTATTATGGTATTACCGAACATTTCCGGCATGCACGCTATGTTCCATAACCTAAGCTCAGTTTTATGGTTTTGTACTAGCGTGAAACAAGGCCAATAATTCCTTTATTGTAACAGCTCGTTTTCTGCTCACGCATAGCCATGCTCTCACTACTCGGATTAAGCCATTGTGGTTTTCAGACATTTCTGAGTGACGTGCACCCCGTAGTGACCAGAATAAAAGAAAAATTTACGGTGACAAGTCCGGGCTAGGGGGCGATGAGAGAATATAATCCAACAAAAGTTGGCGACGTCTTCCTGGCTTTGGAGAATTTTGTGAGGCCGGGCGTTATCGTGATGGAGAGGAAATGTATCTTGCATTCATCTTACGCCGCATTAGACGGGAACGTTTATAACTGGAACACTCCCAATAAAATGGAATACTGCGAAGGTAGTTCAACTATATAAGTGCGGTAACAAGCAATCTCCATTAAATTATCGACCCGTTTCACTAACAAATATTCCCTGTAAAATAATGGAGCGCATACTGCACTCTAATATTTTTAATTACCTAGGAAGAAATTTATTTTCGCCACTGCTCAACATGGTTTCCGTCTCTCATTTTCTTGTGAAACGCAGCTGCTTCATTTCACCCATTGTTTGCATGCTATACTGGTCAAAAAAACATCAGGCTGACTGTATTTTTCTGGATTTTTCTAAAGCATTCGACAAGATGACTCATAATTTACTAATGCTTAAACTTTCTTCATTAAACCTAGATCCTAATTTGTAAACCTGGCTGGAATGCTCTCTCACCAACCGCGTACAATATGTGACTCTAAATGGCATTAATTCACCCCTGACGGATGTGGTATCGGGTGTGCCCAAAGGTTCGGTTTTAGGCCCACTACTTTTTCTAATATTCATTAATGATTTACCAAGTTGTGTTTCTTCCTCCATTCTTTTATACGCAGATGACTGTGTAATTTATCGGGAAGTTTATGATGATGATGATTCACGCATTTTGCAATCTGATTTAAATAATATTACTCTCTGGTGCAAAAACAAAATGTCGTATGGAACTAAACCCTGGCAAATGCAAACTAATGCGGGTTTCCCGGCAAGGCGCACGTCCTTCAGCATATACACTCACCGACATTCAACTTAAATTTGTAAGCTCCTACTGTTATCTGGGTGTTACTATATCGTCGACATTAACCTGGAAACCTCATGTCGATATAATAATCACCAACGCTAACCGCATGTTAGGATACCTATGACGAAACTTCAGAACGGCCCCAGTTAACTTAAAAGTTCTTTATAACACTCTTGTACGGTCGAATTTGGAATACGCAGCCTTGATTCGGGATCCTATTCACGCCTTTCTACATTAAGATCTCGAACTAGTTCAAAATAACGCCGTTCGTTTCGTTTTGTCTTATTATATTCGAACAGCCAACATATCATCAAAGAAGTCCAGTTCGTTGTCACCCTCTGTAGATTGCGCAGAAAGTTTTTTCGACTTCGCCTGTTTCATAAAGTGTATCGTCATCAGTCGCTGCGAGGCCATTTCTTTACATTGGCTAACTATTGCTCTTCCCCTCTGGACCATCTGAATGAAGTTGGATTAACACGTTGACAAACAAACACTTCTTTTGTTCATTTATCCCGCATACATCAAACGACTGGAACCACCTTCCAGCAGATATCGCAACTATACTCGATTATTTTCTTTTTCGACAATCTTTGTTTTCATTTCTGTTTGATGAGCCAACATGAGTCAATTTATTTTGTTCGTAACAGATATTGCCAATCGCAGTGTATTTCGATATTTGTATTTCTTGCTGAATGTTTTTTGTTTTGTTTTTTTCGTTTGTTTCATTGTTGTTGGCTTTGCCCCTCCGCTCTACAATGCTTCAGCGCTTGGGGGTATGTACAATAAATAAATAAACTGCTTTCTTCGATGACTGAAAGCTCTAGGGCAACAAATTAGCTCGTGATCTACCGATTCGCCTAAATAAATGCATTGGCGGGCTGAAACGTGTCTGGTTTGGTGGCGGTGGCAAGATGCTACAACTGGGGCTGATCATGCAGGTCCCTCCCTCCACTTTCTGAATTATGTTCACCCCCAAATTCCAACCACGCTCCTGTCAACTGCACCACTCCTCTATACCAGACTCAAATGGTTATGAATTTCTTCCCGTTATTTGTTTCTCCCCAACTAGCAACTAAAATCACACCTAGGCCCTTAGCAAAAAGAGACCGTACTTCAAACGAAGTTGAAATATATTGAATACGAATATTCATTTTGTATTTATTCTGTATTATTTTGTCCGCATTCGAAATACGCGCGTTAGGTATTCAAAATACATTATAAATATGAATCAAAAAATATTTTAGATATACCAAAATAGTATCCCTTCACACTCAAGATGCCATGTTTGCATTAAAAACCGGTTACACAATTTTTGTATCATTTTCGTTTTTGTCAGCAAATGGTGTCCCTGTGGTATTTGAAGGCACTACTAAATACATCTCACAAAGCTACATTAGAAACGAACACAAAGACTGTGACGCAATGAACAGCTCATTCACAGTCCCGTTGATAGCTCTAGCGCCTTATATAGCCTACATATTGAAAGGAATCATTTTTTCGGTGACCACCTCTGCGCTTATTAAGGTTCCAAGTATTCGGTCTTCTCCTCGGGAGTCTGTCAAAAAGGAAACAGTGTTTTGAAGTACGTGGATGATATCTCTTACTAAAACGCATTGGTACAACTAATAACAATTCGGCGCAGTCCCTAAAATAATATCCACACAAACGGCTCATAAAATACATGGTATTGCTTCTCTGCGTAGCACCACTCAGGACTTCACTTTAAAATACTTTAAACGACTTTATTTTTGTGAGGACCTAATTCTCGCAAAGTTCGCGAATCGCCTAATTCCGAAAAATAGGTCCCGTGAACAATTCCGGCAAAATGTAAAAACATTAAAATCTATATTGCGATCCCATGCGCGTCGCGAAAATTAAAATTTGCGAATTATTCCAAAACTCCAACTTTTACCTAAATCGCGAAATATTGAGCCTGCGAAAAATAAATATTTTACAGTAGTTATTTTGCCTTTCCTTTTTAGTAGTTGACTATTTAATATGGTAGTTAATGTCACTATGTTAAAGTCACTACTCACATCACGTACAATGGTGAGTATACACGTTCAGTGAACTAACATTGTGCTAACAAAATCACGCCAAACGTATCTGTTCACAGCACCTGGTGAAGCTTTCCAGCATCAGCAAATGTTGTGGTTGTAGTTCCCGAACCCCGTTTGTGATTGGTGTGCAAGGAACTGATCAGGTGTGTTCTTGATAGAAAAAAGGAAACAATAACATAAACTGGGCTGATTTATCAGTGCGATGCTGCGCAATTCAATTGACAAACTAATCAAATGTTGTATTTAGGCGCTTCAGTGTACTCCATATCTGCTTGAAGTGAACTAGAAGGGGAGCTTTTCAATATTTTGGTAGTTTAAGTCAAACTACCGAAGTATTGCAGTCAAAAGGTACTTAGGGTATAACACAACAGTATTTACGATTTTCAGGTATTTTAAGAGTATTCTGCACGTATTTTCGATTGGTCCATTTTTTTACGGTTGGAGTATATTTTGCATGAATTAAATAAATATTTCAAGAAATATATGTGAAAGGTATTTTGCGCCTATTCATTTAGTATTTACATATTTCAAAACGCATGAAGGGAACTTCAAATGTAGTTTAAGTAGAGGTATTTTAAAATGATTTTTAGAAGTATATTTTAGTACTAAGTAAAAAAAAAGAAGTTTATATTTTCGGTCTATTTTTTGTGTACTTACAATTATGAACTGTATTTCAAATACACTCAAATTAGAATGTGGTATATTTCAAACGTATTAGTTTTCGCTAAGGGGGTGCTTGTCACGCAGGTCAGACACGGGCGCTATTTCCATGAAATGTTATAATGGCGTACTTGGCGCGACGACCACGAAATTACACGCATGTACGCAGATGTCAATGTTGCAGTTTATTCCTTTTCATAATACTTCGTTTATTCTTGGGCGAGAAAAAAAGTGTAAACATTGCGGTTTTGTTTTTCAACCCTTGTACTTTGGCATCTGCTCCGGTCAACCGGCGCTAAATTTGGAAGTAGGCTGAGTCTTAGGCGGTACGTATTTTATGTTTAATATTTAAAAACAAATTTGCTGCACTCGCTGTATATACGTTGTTCCAGACCTTCGTTAAACACAAGGACCGAAACTAACTATAAAAATATCAAGAAAATATCACTATATATTCGAATTTCCGTCTTGTAATCCTGGGAACGTTTGATTTTTTTAAGAATTAGATAATTTTCCACGAATAAATGATTAATAAATGGGTTACGAAATTTTTAGTAAGATTATATTTTCGTTGGCATTCATGAAACAACTTGCCATCTACCACAACTGTTTTATTGGCATATACATTTGTCAAGAAAAACACCTCTTATACATCATTTATGTAATCGTCGTCTGCGCGCTTCCGTCTGTCTACTGGGCTGTGGAACATAATCATGCGCATGCGCAGTAGCTATCGTCTGTAAAATATCGTACGCCACGCAGGCGTCTACATCCCAGTGAGGCCGCATTTTTTCGTGTGGGTGATGAGCAGCAGAACGATGTTTAGGAGGCGCAACAGGCGGGGACACCGAAAGCGATGGACAACTCAGCAGTACTCACAAGGGTAAGTTCCAGTACAAACGAGAGGCATCCAGATATTGCAAAGGAATGCCAGACCCAAGTTTTCGATAATAGCGCATTGTTCACGATGTTGCGCACACGTACCGTAACTGGTTCTCTCCACGAAGCAGACACAATGGAGGGTCGGACGATGACCAAGGGAAGGCGTTGGCCATGTTCTGCAACGATCCACTCAGCCAGGTGCTTGGTGAAGATGTATGTGTTTGGTTTGGCTCCCAACAGCTCTGGTGTCAGTTTTACGAGGTCGACCTCGTCCATTTTTCTTCATTCAGATAGCCGTTCGTAAAAGAACAACAAAAAACAACAACAACGCAGTAATGTTCTTTTCTTTTAACACTGAAGATAAGGAATTACGCCACAAAACCGATGTCACGAAGGTTGGCAAGCCATAAGCACCCTACAAATGAACACTTCCTTTTTATTGAAGCATGTCTAGCTTCCAGTACATCACGTAACGGGACAATCCTGGCTTTAGACTGCGGAGCCTTGGCGTACATTTCTGATTTGAAAGCGCTTTGAGTGCAAAGGTCATGTTTTGTGGGAACAAAACGTCACCTCGAAAATGTCACTCATCAACCTGTTCCTGTAGAGGGTGTTTATTGATTCAATATAATTATTGACAGCTGCAGCCTTTGAGACGAAGAACCCCGGGTGTTTTGGACGCCGTAAAATATGTCGTAGTAAAACAATGAAGCTACTGACGTTTCTACTGGCTCTTCCCTTACGATCTGTCAAAGCAATTGGTTCCACAAGCAATGCAGCGTCGACACCTCAAAACCGTGGTATTTTAAGTGTTTTAAATAAATGCATTATAAAATTCAATACATTTTTCACTTTTTCAACGTATACGAAAAAGCGTGCTTCAAAGAATGTGGCTTAATTTTTTTTTCCCGAAACTGCTTACTTGTGGCTAGAATATCTTAACTCGATATCTACCATATTCTTCAGTTTTTTTTAATAATAATCGTCCATTGTGATCTGGTGATAACTTTAGGCATTCTAACATCACATAATTAAATTTAAGACACGAACGCATATACTATAAAGGACTTTATGAATCGGAGTATAAGTCTGCTTCGTACTTGAGAGGTTTTTCAAATTGTCAGCAACATTATTCATGCTTTCAGTGTTCACAGGTAGTGCTCCTGTGTTGTATTGAATATTCCTAATTTCCGCAAAAAATTTTACACCTGCCAATATTCGCTTTTGTACCAAGCAAATATCGCATGTTTATGTCATTTAAACTAACGTAAAAGATAGTGATTTATTTGCAATTTCGCAATCACATTTTCACAGTACAGAGGATTGCAATTGGAGTTTACTACTTTCCATATATGTTGAAAGGTGCAATGGTATCGGCGCACATTCACTTAGAAAATCTGAAGGAGGAGCGGTCAGTATTTTTTAAAGATAATATTATACAATACAGGTGCTCTGATTTATATAACAAATTTCTCATACGCAGGAAGACATTGATAATTGCAAAAATGTGTGGCATCATGACGGTACAGAGCTGAAATCACTACCACAATTTCACTGATAAACATTGTTGTAGAGGACATGAATATATATATATATATATATATATAAAGGGCCTTACTTTGTTAACGCAATAATGTCATCCGGCTTCACCATTGGAGGGTATAGTCGTTCGTCCAATGTCTCATGATCGCAGTTTACGAATGCTGTTGACACGTGAACAACGGCCTGAAATCAAACAAAAAATTAAAGTATATTTGCAGCGCTGGTGATTGGCTCACAGAACAAGTTACAATATACTCACGACAAATACCTTAATAAATTATATATATATATATATATATATATATATATATATATTGTTGCGGGCGTCTCAGTTCATGGGCTAAACGGGCAACCCAGAATTCAGTCCCCCGTTCTCCACACGACCTCGTCTTCTTCTTCTCCTTTTCTTCCTTTTCCTTGTCCGTTACACTCGCCCCTCCCCGTTCGGAAGTCCGTCCCGGACGATGCTAAGATAGTCACCACGTGTGACATAAAGTTTCAGATGGCTTGAATGGGCTGTCAAAGTGCGGCGTCGCCCACGCTGAGGCAGGCTGTCAAGGTGTTCGAGACGGTATGTTACGGGTCCAAGTTGCCTGCTAATCTTGAAAGGTCCACACTACCTGGGCAAAAGCTTTTCCGAGTGCTGTGGACATCTTAGGTTCCTTCGAAGAAGCACCACATCACCAAAGCCGGACTTTAGAGCTTCTATGAGTAGTTGATATGAGGAAAGACTTGTGGCAGACATGCTCTCCAAACATTCAGCAGCGTTCCCCCTTAACTGGGCCACCATTGCACGAGCTCTGGACGTTGAGTCGAACCCGTAGAAGTCCGCAACCGTTTCGAATTGGATGATGAAGGCTTGCCATGACGACTGCCCATCGAATGTCGGCAGCTTGAGTGGCGGTCCGTGGTGCACAGGCAGTCGAATTCAAGATTCCATGGACGAAAGGCCGTCATTGAGGCGTTGCCCTACATCGGCAACCTGACGTTCGACTGCAGATTCCAGCAGAGACAGACGGGTTGCGAGGCAATCGTCGAGGGTTCCAAGCGGGTTCACAATGTCCGTAGCACTCCTTTCGGCGAGCAGATTAGCTAACCGCTCCGTGATTTGCATCGCCGCGGAAGTTGAGATGACGCCACTTGCCTCCGATTGGGTTGCCATTTCGTAATCCCACCGCTGCCACCAAATGTTGCGGGCGTCTCAGTTCATGGGCTAAACGGGCAACCCAGAATTCAGTCCCCCGTTCTCCACACGACCTCGTCTTCTTCTTCTCCTTTTCTTCCTTTTCCTTGTCCATTACGATATATATATATTCTGAGGAGGTTTATTGAGGTATCTCAAGACTGCTCCGAAAAGGTCCCAGGAAAACCGCGGCCGCTGGGTAGAATGTCCGATTCAACCCTGAGCTCACAAGGGCCTCGCTCGTCACGACCCACGAGCTCTGTCTTGCTCACGCACGCGCGCGAAGAAGACCAAGAAGTTGCTTTTTTTGATCCTCTGACAACGAAGGCGACATAGTTTTAGCAAGTGATGCGTCGAGGGCGTTATAGGGTGGTTCAGCCTGGATTTGAAGAGAGGTGACACTTTGGGTCACTTGTAATAAACTCAGTACGGCTGCTCTTCCTAACGAATGGCCTCTAGGGAGAACGACCAAGTGTGAGTTCGCATTATCTAAAGCCAGCCAACCGGCACCGTTCGTAATAGTAGTAATTGCTTCGGCCCTGAGGGTATACGAAATAAATAAAATATAAATAAATGAATTGTGTAGGGCAGCAACAAGCCCTTAGCCATTAGAGCACTGCGCACTGGTTCAACTAAAACATCGCCTGTTAAATCTGCAGAGGGATAGACTTCGACTAGTGTTCTAGAAGATGGAGGCAACTCAAACTCAAATGCAGCACATAACTTGATGGGAGCAACATACGTGTCATTCATTCTCTTGAAACAAGTCTTCCGAAAGGTGAATTTCGGAACGTTCGCAATCAGTTACTGCATTGCCGGGCCTAAGGAAATCCCATCCCGGAATGACCTCTGCCACACAAGGGGGTAAAACAACGAATTGAATGTGGTAGCGTACGTTGCCAATAAAATCTGTCTACAAGAGTGGTCGTAAACACCAAGATGCAGATGCTCTATCACGCTGTCCGCTTCCGTCGGATCATGTCAATACGATAGTGCCAGAAAAGGAGACAACCGACACAATTGCCCCAATTTCCTACCGCAACTTATCAGTCGACCAGCATAATTACCCGTGGATACACCGCATATTGACTCACACTGACGGCATCAATTCATCAAATGACAGCCGCTTCAACAATCGTGCACAACACTATCTAGTTTGACGGAATACTCTTCCGACGCAGTTATGACCCTAACACTCGCCGGTGGTTGCTTGTCATTCCACACCACCTCGAAACAGAGATATTACAGAGTCTCCACGATGACCCTACTGCCGGTCACTTGGGGTTCCTGAAAACGTATAAAAAATTTAAAAATCGATTCTTTTGGCCCGGTCTCTACCGCTCTGTGTTTAATTACGTCAGAAGCTGCCAGCAGGGTCAACTTCGCGAACGGCCAACTTCATCGCCCGCAGGACTGCTACAACCACTGGCTCCACTTCACATCCCATTTGAGGTTGTGGGAATTGACCTCTTGTTTCCTCTCCACTCTCCACAGGTTCGAATCGCTGGATAATAGTGGCCATCGACCACCTAACTCGCTATGTCGAGACCAAAGCACTTCCCGATGCATCAGCGGAAGAAATCGCAAAATTTCTTGCTACACCAGGCAGCCTTACGGCACGGAGCGCCTCGAACACTGATAAGCGATCGAGGCCGTTCGTTCTTGTCCACGACAGCACAAGCCCTACTGACAGCCTGCAATGTCACCCATCATCCCATAACATCTTATCACCCGCAAACAAACGGGGCACATGATTTTCCCCGTTCCACCTTCTTCACGGTCACGACGCCTTCTGAACACTGGACACTATCCTCCCTCCAGAACGTCGTGAAAACTCAGATGCCTTTATTAGCGACATCATCTCACGCACCGAAGCCTGCCGTCAACTGGCGCGACTCCGCACAGTAGAACAACAAGGACACGCCAAACAACGTTATGACGCACATCACCGCGACGTCCAGTACTTTCCAGGGGAGTATGTCCTCGTTGCATTTCCAAGCCGTCAAGTTGGCAGTTGCGCAAAGTTTCTCCCGCGTTACCGTGGACCCCACTGTATTGTACGACAAACGTCTCCTGTCTACTCCGCTATAGAACCTCTCATCGCTCCCACAGACGGCCGTGCTTTGCAGTCTGACATCGTCCACGAGTCCCGACTCAAACCCTACGAATCTCGTCCTAACGGCCAGGATGGCCTTCCTACAAGGGGGCAGCATATGTGAGCAGCGACGCGAACCTATAAACTGTGAATGTGCGCCAACTTCGGCGAGCTCACTGCGCGCGCGTGAGCAAGACCGAGCTCGTGGATCGTGACGAGCGAGACCTGCTTGAGCTCAGGGATGAAGTGGACATTCTGCCCAGCGGCCGGCTCTCCTGGCACCTTTTCGGGGAAGGCTTGAGATACCTCAATAAACCGTCGCACAGTATATATATATAAATATATATATATATATATATATATATATATATATATATATATATATATATATATATATATATATATATATATGTATATATATATATATATATATATATATATATATATATATATATATATGTATATATATATATATATATATATATATATATATATATATATATATATATATATATATATATAGCTTCTTGCTACATCACATACACCAGAGCTTCCAGAGTGCAATGCTTCATCAAAAATAGAGAAAATATAAGCTCCGCCGGCTTCGATCATAGGTGGATCACGCTATATGAATCAAGCCTCAATAAACTCGACATAAATGTGAATTCTGCTAGCCGGATTCACCAGGTTCGACTAATTCTGAATAATTAGGTATCATATTTAACTTGTCGCAAATTAGTTGAAAAGTGTTTGAAAAAGAAGCAACTAGAAAATATGGTATGCACGTGATCTTGCTTAGTTGACAAAAACGGGTGATTATCTCGACAGGAGTAAGATTTGGATGGGACGTGAATTTTTTAAGTCACGAATGCGCGTGCTGAAGTGCTAATGCGTAAATTAGGTTTTATGTGCAAAAAATACTCAGACATAAATTAGCGAAAAATCTTCTAACGAGAACCTGGTTGTCACAAAGCAGGCTTTACAAGTAACACTGAAAATACACAGGGGCGACATAAAAAAGTCGCCTCTCCAGAGACGTCATCAATGAAACGCTCGTAGATGACGGAGTTTCGCGTAGTCTAACGGCCTGCTAAAATGTTTTTGCGCCAGCTCTTAATTTTACGCATGTCTATTTCCACAATATTAGCTCTTATTTTGGCGGTTCATAGACCCAGCATTGCGGACGAAGACAGCGACGACGTTACTGTCTGGCATAAATCTGGAAGCACGATATTAAACAGTACCTTTTCGACTGTGGTCGGAGTCGGTCGCACATCTCTTCTGTCCTTAACATCTAACACATTACACTAAACTCCTTCCAGATACATTCTTCAGCTTTCCAAGACATTGAGTGCTTTGTTAGCGCTGGAAATGGGGGGGGGGGGGGGGGGGGAAGGCTGCGGTGCGCTGAAGGCTATTGAACGCATGGGGCTGAGTGGAAAACCACCTACTCAACACTGGCTGAGCTGGTCCTAGCTTTTGACTGAGGTTGGTTCGTCGCTTTTTAATTTGTACAAGGCGCTAAGCAGTGCCAGTGGATACCGGATAATTACTTAGCCGCGAATCACACTCGCCGCGTGATCATTTATGGTTACGACATAATTAGTACGACACTAAACAAGCACTAGCCAATCTTGGTGAATTCGGCTTTACGTGCTTCTCTTCGCATGAATCCAGATTTCTTACCTGTTTTCTTTTTATTTTATTTTTACTACCTCGCGCGGAACTTATAATTAAAGTTAAAAATTATCGGTAAGCGTAGCTTTGCCAAAAATAATTTAATAAAAAGTCATGTGCCTATAACGTCCGGAAGAAATATCTAGATTTCGCGTTGTTACGCAGGGTTCGATCGCTGTCGTCCAACATTTAATTGTTCCAGTCATCGTACGGTCTGGATATAAGAAGCTGTAGGTCGCCATTTGTATAGTCAGACAAACGGTAGCTCAAATCCTGCTGTACAGCCGGCATGGGTGCAGTTGATGCCGGATATTTTCTTTTGATTTCGCATTGCTTTGTCACACTGAAACCCTTGTATTGTCACTTTACCAGAGTATGTATTTGTGAGAATATGTAGAGTTATTGAAAATATAGTTTTAATTCTTTATTTTACAGAAGTTGCCTTTATTCATGCACTTCATGGCATTAGTCAGAACAATGATTATATTTAAGAAGTCTCGATTGGCATTAAGTAGCATTTCAGTCAAAAGCAAACATTTAATATTCATCACTAATCATTCGGTTGCGCAATATTTGTGATCAATATTGTATTGAAATTAATACTATCGCTCAACTAGAAACTTCGACAAAATATGCCATTTAGATGCACTCCGAAAATAGTTCAAGTAAATATATTAATTACAACGGCCGGTGTCGTAGCTTGACATCCGCCGTTTCGAATTATGCAGACAAGCCATTTCTACGAGACCGTAAAGTATGTTTTTTTTTCTACGACACGAATTGAACTCACCTTCATATTTTTCATGTTATGGCAAAGCTCCAGCACACTTTTTGTACCTTCCATGTTGATCTTCACAGCGTTTCTGCAAAACAATACACGCATTCGTACAATCTGCCGAATTTAATTTTTGATAGATTCGTCACAGTCATAAGCAAGCCACTGGAAATAAGGATAAATATATATCAAGCAATGCCATAGACCCTATACATTTTTCACGGCGCCGTCCGGCACGTTGAGGGAAATGCCGGGCTACAAGCCTCAGAGATGACAGCCTCTTCTCGTGCATTTTGAAACAATTCAGGACGAGCAGTACAAAAATCGCGGTGACTATTGGTTTAAAAAAATATTTCTCGCCCGCTGACATGTAACAAGGTCTGTTATTGACCACAGTACGCAGTCATTGAACATTCATTTGATTTTTTACTCTAGAGAAAGGTATTTTGAAACAAAAAAGGAGCTAAGAGACAGGTACCCAAGATTTCGGAGTTCAATATACAAGCGCACAGCTTCACGATTTCACCATACAAAGCGCTAGTGTTCGGGAGTGGTGCAGCGCGTCCCTTTCGACATACGGCAAATTAACTTTTATAAAGGCCCTTTAAGGTGGTGCAACCTTCAGAATTGTTTCTTAGAGTGCTTTTCCACGACATTTCAGAAAAAAAAAAAGTTGTTGCCTTATAGAATATGTGAGATAATAATATTACGGGGCGTTGGATGCGTCTCCGACTGGTATGTTCACCGCGTTCTTAAAATGTGTCCTTCGAATTTCTCCCGATGGCGTATTAGAGGTGCCATGATTTCACCGGCCGCGGTCCTTGTGGTGTTGCAATTGCGGTGGCTGACGTGGCAGACGTCTGTTTTGCTACAGAATACTCTTCAGCTTCGCATTCAACGGGAGCTTGACACGCCACGAAGTTAGACTCTACGAGGACAGCGACGCTCGCTTTCTCTCCTACTTTCTGCCGAGCACTTCTTTCCGCAACCGCCAGGATCGCGGCATACGACAATATGACACGTTGGCTTCAGGTAGGCCATTTGTTGGCCGTACAGGACGACTTTCGATGTATGCCTGTAATGGACTCTAAACGCACCAATCAAAGACGCTTTTCAGCCGCCGTTATAAATACTAGGAACGCGAGTTGTTGACTTGCACGCTTATTGAAAGGAAAATTGACTCGGCTCACCTACCTCAAGGTGTCGTTGAATCTGACAGTTGCCGCGCAGTGAAACACAACCGACACCTCTGAAGCGAGGCTTTTGTAGTCACTGGATTTCAAGCCCAATTTTTCGTCCGTGAGGTTGCCTTCCACGCCCACAACCTTGTTCAAACTCTCTGGATACTCTTTATGCAAGCGCTTGAAGCACTGAAATGGGAGATAACACAAGAATTAAGGCTCGTCGACTCAGCTGTGTCGACTCGTCCTCTGCGTTCTCTCCTTCTTGTCCGCGTGTTATTCACGCTGTTTTTCAATATTGCGCTGCTTTGCAGCACCTCCCCATGCACTCGTCCTAAGGGTCGCCATAGCAACAACATGACACAAGCAGTCGTAACGCGGTCAAATGCAGTCAAACGCAACTGTGTGAACCAGTCCTTAAACGCACACGCACTCACAAGCCCCATTTCGAAGAACACTTATCAGCCGAGTGCACAAAGTGCTTGCCACATCAAAGAATGAAAAAAAATTCGCTTTGCTCAATCGAAAAATGTTATGGTATAATTGCCCCCCCCCCCCCCCCCAAAAAAAAAAGAACACGTACAAAAAACAGTTTTTTTATCTGTTTTCTTTTTGAGGACCGGGGGGGGGGAGTAATTGTAATTTTTTTCCATGGGCGGCAAGAAACCGAACACATATAAACTCCAGTACTCACGCAGTACTGATATTTCAAAAAATTCTTCACTCATCGAATTGCTGATGCCGTCAAATGCGCAGTTATGGTTTTTTTTTTAAATTTTGTTAGAACATAGTTGTGCCTGGGAGACCAAACGAAAAGATTCCAATAGGGCGCTTTACTAGGTCCGGTGTCCGGTGTCCTATGGACATACAAAAAAAGTCACTGAGATCGAAAATTTTAGAGTTTAAAAATGCCAAGAGTTTCAAGGTAAAAAATTAAATAAATAAATAAATTTCCAAGAGCAATTTGTGTCAGGATGATATTTTATTATCTTAGTACATTTGGCGTTTTTCAAACTTTAATAAGTAACCTAATTTCCCAAATTTTATTTTATTTCATTTATTTGCCTCAAAGGCATCCGATGATGCATTTCATGCGGGGGCAGTAAAAAGGGAGGAATGGTGATAATACTAACCTATAAAGACAACAAAACAATTTAACAGTTTATACAAAAATTACCCAGCGATTGTTGGCTAATTTTTGTAGAAACTTTTCGCTTCTTGTTGTTTTAGTAGTGTATTCAAACACTACTAAAACCCGAAACTTCAATATTAATATACAGATGCTTCATATATTAAGCAATACTACGATAAGCACAGCGTAAGAGCAGAAACTGAATCTCCAACCTGTGGTGATTGTTTGTTTGTTTCTTGGTGTTTTATGGCGCAAGGGCAACACGAGGGCCAAATAGCGCCAAGATCCTGTTTAGCTGATTTAATATGTAGTATGTTAGTGCTTATGGGTAAAACTAATGTGCTATGTTTAGCTAATATACAAATGGGTAATAAGGCCTAGAGAGTGTAAAGGGCTCCAAAATTCATGTATAGTAGAGAAGTGACTTGAGGCCACTTTTTTGAAGGAACGAGTGGAATCTGAGGTTCAGGACCTAACACCAAACACGGATGAAATGGAATGTTTAATCTTCTTAGTGGTGCTAAAAGTGGTTTAAGGAAAGGTTCCAGCTTCCTGCAAACAAACAGATGCATTACTGTGAGGTCTGAATCAGATATTTCGCAGGTAGGAGGTTCATTGCCCATCAAAAGATGTGAGTGTGTTAAGCGTGTATGTCCAATGCGCAGTCGTGTTAACAATACACTGTCATGACGCGAGAGGTGACAATGGTCCTGAAATTTATCTGTAGTAGGGTGAAGGGTATGGAGCTTGTTACCTTCACATTTCTTCCATTGCCGCAACCATTTTGTCGCGACACTCTTGGACATCTCACGGTGAATGTCACTTAAGCGCAAAGGCATCTGTGTTTTGTCTTCGAACGGACCTTGTCGGGCAGTTGTGTCGGCAAGCTCATTTCCAGTGATGCCACTATGCCCTGGAACCCAGAGGAACCGAACGTGTCCGCTTACTGACTGGATTTCTTGTAACAGCGTATGAATATCTACAATAAACGGGTGTTTCTTAGGCTGTATAGCACAGATGGAGATAAGTGCATTTAAGGAGTCGGGGCATATCAGTGATTTTTTGATCCGGGACTTTCTGATGTGCTTAAGCGAAGCAATAATTGCATATAATTCAGATTTGAAGACAGATGCTATTGGAGACAACTGGAAAGCATTTCTGGTGGTCCCAGAAACAAAGGCCACTCCAACAGCATCGCCCATTTTAGAACCATCAGTGTAAAATGCCCGGTAGTCCTTGAACTTTTTAAGAATTTCTAAAAAACTCTGTTGGCACATCAGAGGCGCAGTACATGGCGTTTTGAACTTAGTTAACCGCAGATCACAGGAAATGCTTGGGTCATACCAAGGGGGGAGTGGTGGACGAAAAGTTGAAACCTTGCTTATTGAAAACCTAGTGTCTGACAAAACTTGCTGCACACGAATTCCAAATGGTTGGGCGACTGATGGGCGTCGAGCAAACAGCTCAGTGAAAGATTGGGCTAGGACATGAGTGCAGGCTGGATTGTCCTTGTACATTGAAATTCTACCTGCATAAAATAGACCTAGCAATTCTCTCCTAAGACATAGGGGCTGTTCATGGGCTGTTATGTATAGGCTCTCCACTGGTGATGTTCGAAAAGCTCCCGTGCACAAACGAATTGCCTGGTGATGAACAAGATCAAGCTGTCGAATTGTGCTTTGTCTAGCCGATCCATAAACAAAGCTACAATAATCCAGTTTTGAACGCACTGTAGCCCGGTAAATATGCAGAAGAGACTCAACGTGTCCTCCCCAAGATGTGTGTGCAAGCACTTTAAGAATACTTAGTTTTTTTAGGCAGTTTTTGCGAAGATAGGCAATATGCCCTCCAAATGTCAGTTTTCGGTCAAAACTGACTCCCAGAAATTTTTGAGAGTTCTTACAAGTAAGTTGTGTACCATTTAGTGACAGTTCGGGATTGGGGTCGAGTCCACGTTTCCGCGTGAAATGTACAATGGCACTTTTTTCTGCCGAGAACTGAAATCCGTTTTGAAAACACCACTTTCCCAGTTTGTTTATGCAGAGCTGGAGTTGTCGCTCGGCAACTTGCAGAGATGAAGTCCTGATAGAAATTTCAAGGTCATCGGCATATAAAGAGTGTTCGATGGGGCGAGAAATTTCACGGGAGAGTGAATTTATCTGAACCAAAAATAATGTGACACTTAAAATGCAACCCTGGGGAACGCCCGCCGGCGCACCTGAAAAGTGCGATCTGTTAAGAAGTTCTTAATGAACACCAACATGTTACCATTAAAACCCATTGACACCAGGTTACTAAGAATACCATGCCTCCATGTTCTATCATATGCCTTAGCACGATCGAAGAAAACTGCCACCAGATGTTCACGCCTCACAAAGGCCGAGCGAACCTCCATCTCCAGAGACACTATATGATCGAGGGTGGGGCGGTTTTTGCGGAAACCACACTGAGCTCGTGATAGTAAATTTTCTGCCTTTAGGCAAAAAACAAGCCTTGAATTTATCATACTTTCCAGCACCTTGCAGAGGCAGCTGGTGAGAGCTATTGGTCTGTAGTTCTGAGGATTTGTGTGATCTTTGCCTGGCTTTGGAATGGCTATAACGACTGCTTTCCTCCAGGATGTTGGGAACATCCCCGTTTCCCATATTCTGTTATAGAACTTCAGAAGAGCAAGTTTGGAATCGTGGAATAAGTTAGCAATCATTTTATAGTGTATGTTGTCTAAGCGAACTGCAGAATTCCGACAATGCAGGGTCGATAGCTCCAGCTCTCGAAAAGATAAAGGTTTGTTGTAAGGTTCCTCGCTACTGAGTTTTATTGGCAGTGGTTTTCTCTCTACTTGCGTGCCATCTGCTAGAAAAGGTTTTTTGTATGAAGACTTGCTGGATACTACTGAAAAACTATGTCCCAGCAGATTTGCCTGGTCTATGGGAGAGCACACTTGAACTGTTCCATGTTTGAATATAGAGAGTCGGGTATCATTATATAAGCCCTCCATCTTCCGGACTTTGTCCCAAATTTCTTTTCTTGATGTGTCCTGGGTAACCTCCGAGGTGTACTTGCACCAGCCCTATTGGAAAAACGTACAAGAAACAAACCTGCTGCTTGTGCAGTTCGGGTATGACACCAACATATTTTCTTGTTATTATGCATGCAGCTAGTTTGGTTCGGCTTTCTGCATAACTGGAGATACCGGCACCGCTATGGCTCCGGATCTGTCTATACTGGCAGCCAGTTTGCTTGCCGATATGATTCGGTGTGCTGTTATGATTTTGCGTCCGATGACGTAGGCGACCGCCATCTTTCCAACAAAAAACGCTTATACCACACGACCACCGTTATATCTTAATCATACATGCAGAAAGACGACCGCAATCTTCCAACGTAACGTCCATCGTTTACCACCGGTATCGTTACACACACCATACATGTCGAAAAAGAACATAAGCCGCGTTTACATGAATGCGACTTAGTCGTATTGAATCCAGTTGCCGCATTCCATATGCGGTCATGTAAACGGCATAATGCGCAAAGCGCATCGCATTAAAGCCGCTAGATAGAGGTCGATCGAGATGTCGATTGCGCATTCATTCAGCCCATGTAAACGGAGATCGCATCGCACTTTGGAACGGGGAGGATTATCGGAAGGCGCTCGCTGCGGGAGCGAGTGAACAGCTGAGAACATGGAGGCGGCCAATCTCGTCGACGGCGCGGAGAGCGGTCCCGCAATTTTTTTCCCGAGAACAAACGCAAGCTTTTATTGTGATCATAACTAAGCGGAATATAGCGGAGCTGCTCGGTGTGGGCGGCCCCGTCCAAAGCTTTGCGAAGTACGACTTGCGTGTCCGAAGGGGTCACAAAGACATCGGTGCAAGCACGAACGACACCAAGAGCCCCGAGCACTGTTGAGCACTGCATGGTAGCGCAGAACGAGCAGCTCCTACCTCGGTGCCGTTCCCGGCTGCGCAAGAGCCTCTCGGACTCGGGGTACGGTGGCGATCGGCGAGTTCTGGCGCGGCGAAACGCGGAGGCTTCCTCAAAGCGTGCGCACACATGT